AGCATATGACTAATACAATAAATTAATTGCTGTTAGAAATTAATCCTACAGTCTTAGTACATCTGTAGTAAAAAATAACCAATGAGTTTAAGAGCCATTAGTTACAACAGAACATTTTACAACAGAACATTTCGAAGAATTGCAATATTATTACTCTATTGAATCTTTTTTTTTCATTAAATCTATTAAAGAAAGGGAAAAAACTCAAGATTTTCATTTATCAAGCTTAACGTGTGATTTAATTTATTATGACAAAGAAAGTTTTTCCGAATCTTTCGTTAACCACGTAAATAAGCAAGTCATACAAAATTACTCACCTGAAATTTCGAGTACAAAAACATTCTAAATAATAAATAAAGCAATTCTAATTAAAAGCATACGTTATAAAAAAATTATAAAAAAGCTACAATTTATACGTGATAATATTTAAAAATATATTAGGGGGACCGGAAAGTAATATCGTTTCTGTGCATTTGATATTTGTTACCAAGATTTTTTTTTTACTCAATAATGTATTCATCCTCGTCAGCAACAACCTTTTAATGCCGGATCCAAAATGAATCGAAATGGGTCGAAAAAAATGAATTGGTTTTTAAGACTAATGAATATTTAATGCGCCGAAACGACATTACTTTCTGTTCCCCCTAATAGGGCGCTTTTTCATTACACGACACGATAACAACAAAACGGATCCGATTGTCGGAGAACGACATAGAGACAAGTAAAATACATGGTCAGCAANTTCTGTTCGCCCTAATACATATTTAGACTTTTTAAGATCGGAAAATTACTGAACTAGGTAATCGATCATAAGTCACAATTTCAAATAAATAAATAAATATAAATATTCATTAGGAAACAATTCAAAACACATGAGTTACTGAAAATAAACAGCAGTGTGAAATTAAAATTTCTTCTAAATAAATAATACAGCTACTTCAACACCATATCATCATTATCAGGAACTGGAGAATTTATTAACGTTTTTACCTCTCTAAAAGTTGAAAAGTTTACCTCATTAAACTACCAACTTTACTTTTAATTTTAAAAAAATAATTTTTAAACTTTTGACTTATCTTTTTTTTTAAACTACATCATCATTCATTTTGGTAATCTAATCAAATTTCCAACGAACTTCTTTATTTTAGTTCTTTATGATAATAGATAAGTTTCAGCAACTGTGAAAGAATGCATTAGAATTTTCCAATAAATGAAATGAATATTTATAATGCTTTCCTAGTTAATGGAATAATTATAAGTTTCTAAGTTTTTTTTCTCTTTTCAGAGAAAAGCAAACGCCACTAATATAGTCAAAAATAATACTGCAAGCGCAAGTTTCTTTCTTTTCCTTTTGTGTATTATTTTATGGGAAATTCTAGCATCCTTATTAGAAAATAATATTTCTTCACTAATTAATTTGACTTTATTTTTTTTGGTTCAAATTCTCCCAGAGGATATTCACCTTATAAAATTACTTTTTAATATAAATACTATTCAAAAGTCGTTTTTATTATGAAAAAAAATCTGAGAAATCTGGTCCCCATAGTTTCATAGTTTAGCAATTCACAGTTTGTCCTCTAGGAAACAGAAGTACACAATTCAAGTACCAGATCTAAACCCACTACTAGCTCTTACCCTACTCTCCGCAATACAGTTTCTTATAACTTTGAGCACAAAAAAAGCACTTTATTTTTTAAAAGCTTTTTTAAATGTAGAATTTGAGAAAAATTTTTCAAGTTGCAATACATAAAGTAATCTAAATATGTATACGAAAATCAATAAATAAATTTATACAAAAAACAGTAACAAAAAATAATAGTAAAAAAAGACATTTTCGGAAAATTTAGGTAGTAAAATTTAAACAAAAAAATTTTAATGTGTTAGAAACATAGAAATCTGTTAATGACTACATGCAATTTATTTAATTATAAAAAATAAAAAAATATTTTTTAAATCTTAATATTTAATAGAAAACAAAGAATAACGATGCGTTTCAAATGTTTCTTTTCTGCGAAATTTGTAATAATATGCATACAAGAATCAAGTTCAATTTTTAGAAATAAACAAACATTAAAAAAAAAACTTTTTTAAGTTTAAATCTCCAATTTCATCCTATAAAATAAATGTTAACATTCCTGAATTGAAATTATTAAAGATGAACATAGAAAAGTGATCTTATATCTAGTGTAAGGAAACAACGATTTGTAATTGGCCATTAAATTTTAAGATTCCGTTCGTACTTCTAAATAAAAAGTACACAACAAAGTAACATTATTTTTATACAGCCTCATAAAAAGTTGATTATGCATAAAACAAACAATAAACAATTCAATTTATGAAATACAAAGAAGCCATTCCGATAATTTTTAATGGCTTTACATCTTCTTTTCTTTCAGCCTCTTATGTTTTATTTCTTTTTAAATTGAAAAAGTTGTTAGAATGGAGAATCTATAAATACTATTTATTTGCATAGGATTTACGAACATTTACTGAAGCATTTACTTGTGGAGGAAATTGATAATTTGGATGGAATCAAAAAAAAACTCTATCCAATTATGAAAATATCTCGGAGCCCATGTAATTATTATAATCTAATTATTACAACTTTTTTCTGGCATCATCTTTTTAAAAGCAAGGAGAGAAATAAAACAACAAAAATTTTAAATCCCTTATTTTCTTTTGTCGTGAAACAATCGAAGCCTTCTGGCATGCAGATGGCTGCTAAATTTAAAGATTTTGTCGAAAGATTTCCTTTTTATTTTTAAAATGTTATCTATATATTTATCTTGCTTTAACAAAGGTGATTTATAAAGGTTTTTACCACCACTATATATTAATGATTTAAATGAATCGATAAAAGTTTTAACAATAAAGTATAACTTATTATAATTTTTAAAAACAATAAGTGCTTACAAAATTTAAATATTTTTCGTAAGTGTAAATTTAATTGCTATATTACTTATAACACAAAAAAAGCTTAATCAGAAAGAGAACAAAACAGCAGGTATATTTGCATGATGAACTTAAATAGCAACTTTCATTTATTTATTTTTGCTCACGTTAGCAATGGAATTCAAGTTTAAGATTTACAAAATTCTCGTCCAATTTCATCAGGAGAGAGTTGTAATTTTCCAACACCATCACCAAAATCTAAGCACTCTAAGAACCCAACCAAAGTTTCGTCCTCAATATGACGGATATTTTCGAGGGAGTTGATGTGAATTATGGTTTTAAACGCTTTTGGATAATAATACGCAAGGTGGCATGACTACATCATCATCATGACCCAACGCCAATGCATCTATCCCCATTTTTAGGGCTCAATCTCCTAACGGCCATGGTAGGAATGTCACGTAATTTTGATCTTGGTCAAGCGACGTGGAAGGTGTCTGAGCTGATATCCCACACTCCGAATTCCCCCCACACGCAACCAATGAGAGGACTTTCAGCAGCTGCAGATTTATCGTGTACCTTGCCGCTTATACAAGGTGGTTGTTTCATCAGCCACCCGGATCGAACTCACTTACATCAGCTCTCTAACCAATGGTGTAAGCGACCTCTTAACTAACTATACCACTGGAGTGGCGGTGCATGACTACATAATAGAAATAGATTACAAATTTCGTTGGTTTCTAATGGTTTTCTTTTTTTTAATTCTTTTTTCCTCCGATGTCATGAGCTCATGTACTCGTATAGATGATTCACAAAATTGGGAAGATACAGAAGTTTAATTCCATCGTGATTTGTTGTTAAACAGCAATCAAATTTGAACTGTTTATTGAAGTAACAACTTTATCTTTCTACCATATTAATGAAGACCGTAAAATTTTTATCCTAATTTCAATTTTATCCATTATGTAACATCAAATTTAAACTTCATATTTAAAAACATTCACCTAGAAACCTAGAAAAACATTCACCTAGAATGTTTCTAAATATGAAACATTCACCTTCATATTTAGAAACATTCACCTCATTCGCTTAGAAACGCGGTTTGAGTTTGGCGGACTATAAGAAATGCAAATATTAAATGCACTGGATACTTTAAACAAGGAAATTACATTGTCACGGTGAAAAACTTCTTTCAATTTCAAAATACAAAATCCAAAGTTTTAATGAATTAAAAGTCATTTTCATTTAATTACACAATTCACCTTTTCAGGAGAGATCTCCACTTATTTCAACTTTTCGTTCAAAAAAGTATTCAGGAAAATAAATTTATAATTTGTTAACGAAATATTTTCGGCATTTATTTATTTTATCTATGTATCCTCCAAAGAAAAGAAAATTAGTTGTTCTTGAGCAGGCAATAGAGAGATTTTGAATAGCGTTTTTCTTACGGCAAGTATACGCTAACCTTATCTCCTTATTATTATACCCTTTTCCTTTATTCCCCTTATTTCCTTTCCTTAGTGATTCTGCGATTGACAGTTGAAGCTCAAATCGCTTTAGTGTTAGAGATAACGGGAAATGGTAATGTAATGCAAAATCTCTCTAATGATATTTTCTTTCCTTGTATCTTTTAAAACTATATCTCTGATGACTTTCAGTAACAGACAATTTTTTCGTCACAAGACATAATCGAAACGTTCTCGTCTACCAAAAGCATACATCCTAAGAAACAAAGCTTAAGCTTAAAGGATTAATCCCATTGATATTTCATTAATGTAGTCTTATTGTGATGTTAACAAAAAGTCAAACTAAACAATTAATTAGACTTTTTTTAGCATCGTTAAATAAATTTTCATGCACTAAACGATACCATACAACTTCAATCTTGATTTATCAATAGATTGTTATCCATCGATAAATTAAATGGATAACAATCTATACAATTTTAAAATTTCTTTAAAATTTTATTTCTCATGATATGCATTTTATTAATACTATACACTAATACTTTAATGCTACATAACTTTCAAATATTTTTTCTCTCACGCTATATTTTTAGTTTAAACGAGAAGAATTCTTTTTAAAGTGTGATTCTTTAATCTTTTTAGAAACCTACGCTGCCGTTATACCTTGAGTGTGACACGCAGTCTTGTTGCCTTGGACATGAACTCTTTCGATGTGGATGGTTTGCGATGTGACAATCTACTTTTATGCTTTCCCAGACCTGTGACGAAAAATAACTCAGAATGCCCTTTTGATTACGTCAAAATATATGATGGAACTTCAGAAGATAGTCCTCTTATCGTTACTTTATGTGGTAAGTAAACATTTTGAAAAAAGCAGTTCTTACAAAATATGTCACCCTTTAAAATATTATGGATAAAAATAACTCCTGCTATGTGTGTTATATTGTATATCTATAACTAACTACAGAAAAAACACTGCGTATTAAAATGTAATATGAAGAAGCTAGGTATTTTTTTTTACTATTTTATCCGTGGTTGAACAACCGACCTAATCTTTTGGGTTTACGACAACCAATGCTCAACTCCGTAGCCTTGCAATTTTTAACCCAATCCAGAAGACAAGGAAACTCCTGGATCAGTACCCCCAGAGGTATTGATTTGTGATGAGAACATGGATGGCTTTGCGACTCGACAGATTTAACGTGCATCAGTCACCATTTACTACACGGGGGCTCTTCGGCCGGCGGAGATCTTACCCACGAATTCTTGGACATGAGCCCAGTGTCCTACTAACCAGGCTATAGAAGCTGGGTCTTCTAATTATTTTGCAAATGAAATTGAAATGAATGATTTAATAAAGTGTGTGTATTACTATGTAAATGTTGTTGGTATCGTTAGCCATTAAAGTAGTAGGGGTGCGATTCATATATCCATCCACAGATAGTAATTTTGACCTGAACCAGAGAACGATTAATCTCCAAATCAGTACCCCCAGAGGTATTGATTTGTTATGGGAACATGAAGAACTTAGTGACCCGACAGATTCAACGTGCGCCAGTCACCCCTTACTGCACGGGGAATCTTCGGACGGCTGGATTTGAACTCCAGTTTACACAAACTTGAGTTTAGTACCCTGTCGACCAGGCTATACCATTACTATGTAAATAAAAACAATAAACTGTTTTTAAAGATTATTATGATAATTTTATTTTAAAGTAGCATGAATTTTATTTTAAGTACTTATGAAATGCATTAAAATGCATTAATTTGCTGTACAGAAACAGAAAAGAAACTATGTACAAAAAGGCTAGTTTTTACATCACTAACAAAAACTTTTTTTTAAGATTTTAATAATAGTTTTTATTTTATTAATACTAGTTCCATTTTATTAAAGTGGCATAAATTTTATTTGAAATCTTAACGAAATATATTGAAATATTATATTTTGAAAGATATCTATATTTAAAAAATTATATTTTTTAAAACGATAAGTTTTTTTCATCAGTATTTATCAAATATAAGATAAATAAATTTCCAATAGTTAAATTGAAGTAAATAAATTTTATAAAATTGTACCACCTTTATGTAGATATAAATAAATATAGAGCATGTAAGCTCTAAAATGTTACAAACAGCGTTTTTAATTACAAATATCGAGTTTTGTCTACAAAAATACAAAATTTTCAGGAGATGAGACCATTTTTGGAGCTTACGCGTTATGGAGTGAAAATTAGCGCAAACAACTTTTTCCTATATTTTAAATTTTATAAAAATAAATGTGCGTCAATTGCGCTTTTTCTACTACAGTGGCGACTGGGTGGCTGAAATTTGAAGATTTCTGTATACATTTACATTCACAGTTCTGATAATGTCATGAGTTTATAAGAGGATGCTGTTCTAGAAACTTTCTCCTATAGATACCAACGATATTTTTCTTAAGAATATGTTCTAAATTACAAATTACCCCAAAATTTAAAAAAAAAACATTGTTTCTACAAACACACAAAATTTGCAACATTTCTTTTTTTCTATTTTAAATGTATTTAATTCTAAATTACATGGTGAACCTTTTGTGAACGTAGCCTGCTAATATTTGTTGTCTCATGTTAAACAAATTTATATTTTTTTCGCAGGTCGTGGCAGACTAAAGTCTCAGATTGTAGCTTCAGGTTCAGAAATGCTGGTCGAATTCGGAACATCCGCTGCTGGGCCACTACTCAACAAAGGATTCCACTTTAAGGCCGAAAGCATTCATGGTGAAAGCGAAACAGAACATCAGTATCCTAAGTTAGACAGCAACGGAACTTGCTCAATTACAAAGTACATGAGATCGGGAGATGTTGCTACATTTGGCCATCTACGTTCTTGGTATCCAGTAAACACAACTTGCACTTACAAGTTAGTTTATGGTTAATTTATAATTACCATTAACTGCCAAATATTACTGTGCATTTGTTAATAAAAATAATCTATAATTACCTCTGGGAATAATTTTTCATAATATAGGGGAGAGTGGGGTCAATTGTAACATTTTTTGCTTAACTATTTTTAACTAACAAAAAATCCAATATATTATTAGTATTAATTGACAGACGAGTAAAGTAGACTATCCTCTACTAGAAAAAAAAATAAATACCTTATTTTAAATGTTATTATATTAGTTATTAACAATTTTTGACAGTCGTGCACTTGTTACAATTGTCCCCACTTACGGGGTCAATTGTAACAGTTCATAAATTCAACTAAAACATAGTTAATTATACATATTATCATAGTTGTGATATATTTTTTTATTGATCAAAATAGTAGTGATATTTTAGGAGTAAAAATAATAATGAGCAGAGACCTAAAGGGTTAAACTTTTAACTTTAAGGGGTTAAAAATTTTAATTTATGCTGTGAAAGGTGACAAATAAAATAATGCACATGCAACATAATATAAATGATATAGGAAACTATTGGTGGTTCTTAAAGAGTTAAGTAATGGTTTGTAAACATAAGATTATTTATTTTCAGCTGTTACAATCGTCCCTTTACTTATTGTTACAATCGTCCCCAAGACGCCATTTCAGCTTCATTTGTTAAAAACAATGCTAGTTAATTAACAAAACTAATTTTTTTTTATTGAAATGTTAATTAAGGTGTCCACTTACATATTCGGTTAATAATTTTTATTTGTTTAAACAAAATTACTTTGTTACAATATAATATTCTAATACCAAAAAAAGTACTTACGTAGCGTGAAAATATCTTTTGTGATGTAACTCCTTCAAAAGTACATAAAAATTGTTGCCAGCAGGGGTGTACATGTAGATTTATTAAATACACTTTGTGCGCCACGTAGGAACCGAATCGAGAACCCGACTCTCGAAATATTTGCTCTGTTACAATCGTACCCTGTTACAATTGACCCCACTCTCCCCTATAGTATATTATAACCATATCGTTGATACCAGTGACATGTAATACGGTATGGCTTTATTAAAACCATATCGTTAAAATTAACTGCAGCATTTATACTACGGTGCTAATGTGCTTAAACCATCTTAAAATTGACTATATAGCTCTAGGGGTTCAACTTCAATGACAACCTAATTCAATTTAACATCTTTTTAAAGCTGCACCTATTTTTCCTTATATTATAATTTAAAATGTATCGTTGTCTTTTAGTATCTTGAATTTAATATCTGGATATTAAATGACCTTCCGTAGTCCTACTTAGCTGAATTGCTCTGTATCTCTTTTTAGGACTGCTAAAATCATTCAACAGTGTACAGCCACTAGCCACTAACCTCTCATTATCCTACTGTTCAACTGGCTTTCCTTTCCTTGTTGTATCTTGTTTGTAATTTCTTTCTACATCTCCGTGTTTCCCTTCTTCATTTTGTGAGCACGAAAAAAAGTTTTTCTTTACAGAATCAAAACTTTGTATGCTTTTAATGCATTATTTTTACTTTTTTCACGTTGCTTAACTTCATTTACATGCAGCAGAAATTTATATAAATTTTCTAAAATATCTTTTCTAATACCTACAACACTTAACAATTTCTCAAAAAAATAATCTGATTTCGTGAAGAAAATTTTGATTGCCTTGTAACAACGAACTCAACTATTTTAATACATTTTTGTTTTAATTTTAAAAAAAATACTTAGAACATAATTAATGAAATTCAAGACTTTAAATATTTCCTTACCTTTAGTACTTGTTTTAAGAAATTATTTTTTAACTTTCAGATTCGTGGCTCCAGATGACGAGGTTCTGAAATTGACTTTTGAGTTTTTCCGCATGGAGCGGGTCACGTTATGCAACGAGTCTCTTAAGCTCTACGATAGTTCGTTAAACGATCCTTCCAAAATCATATCGAAATTGTGTGACATTAATAAACCACGAACCGAACAACCGAAATCTGTGTATGAGACAACAGGACCAGGACTTTTTGTAGAATTCTCCAGCAAAATGGGGTAAGACAAGGAAAAACCAATTTGTTTTTTCTAAAATCGTAATTGTGTTATTTTTTGTTGAAAAATACCAAACTAACTATAGCAGAATATTTTAAATGTTCAAACATTTAAAAAAAACGTATTAAAACGGTTCATTTGAAAAGTTTAAATATTTTAAAGGTTTTTTTTTTTTTTAGTACTAAAGTTATTTGAAATGAGGTAATGGTTGCCTTAAAATAAATTTGACACCGATTTCAAATCGAGAAATAAAAAATATATTAGCAATAGCAGAGCTACGCATTTGGGTTAGAAATTAATGAAATTGAAGTGTGCCACAGATTGCGTCCAATTAAGCAATCAATTTGCTTGAAAGTACATTCTATTCAGCAAAATTAGGAAATTATGTAACACTCCAGTGGCCAGTGGTTCACTTCTTGGTTCAAAGTAGCCGCCTCCACTTTTTTTGCATTCAGTAGCAGTAAAATTTATAATTACAGTAAAACATGATACACGTAAGAGTCAGTAAAAATATTTTCACACTACAATATAGAGTAAAATTCAACACAAATTATTAAAAGAAAATTAGTTTGTATACACGTTGCACAGAAAGAATGTAAAGACGAAATAGAAATCGGCTTAACAGAAATTATACATGAGAAAAGAAACTGGGACTGAGAACCCGAAAAGTTTTGTGAAGAGTGTACATCAGTATCAAATTCAAGACCAAGTACAAGAAACGCCATGATTTCCCGTGAATTTATCACTGATGTTGATGAAATAATTCGATATGATTAAAGAGTTACGAGAAGGTATAACATTTATGCAACACTTTGTCTGGCATGAAAAAATAATTGGTACGATACAATAACCTTAAGCCACTAAAAATTATACTACTTCTTGTTGCTCTGGACGCATTCTTCCTAGATCAACTTTATGTTCATTTTAAATGATCTCATATAAATTCAGTTTAATCAGTTAGTTGCAGTTTGCAGTACGTTTCTCTAGCCTTCCTGTATAACCCTGAATGGTTGTGTTGCTATAGTTGCTGTATTTCTGACGCGATTGCATTTAGATACTTTTCCCTTAAACCACCTTTATAGTATATTCATACCTTATTAACAATTTCTTAATTGCGCATTAATCTACGTATAGTATGAAAATATTTTTACTTTTTTACACAACTGCTCTAAACAAAGTACACTATTGAAAATTTCCGGATCAAATTCTGTAAAATTTTACGGTAAAAATGGATTTTACTATAAAAAGTACCGGCACCCTGAATGCCGGTACATTTTGCCAGAATTTTTTACAGTGTAATTGCTTAAATATAGTACAAAGAAGTATGTTTTAATTCAGTTTAATACAAAAAATGCAAAACAAACTACACAACACAGAAAAAACTATATTGATGCTAGATTAGCTTAACCTATATGACAAACGTGCTGCTTTAAACAAATTTCTCCAACGATACAGACATTAATAAAAAACAATTTATAAATACCAGAACCGAAATTTATATTTTTTTAAATTTTATATACTCTTTTTAATTTTGTAATACTTTATGTGTTTTTTTACAGGTCTTTAGAAGGCTCTTCTATCAGTTACGCATTTGAGGTTCGGCCTGTAAATGTTGTAGCTCGCAGAAACACCCTTAATGGCAACAGCTGCAGTAGAGTATTCACTCCAGAAGGGGGCATGACAGGACTATTAACTGGACATTCTTTTGGCGAGACAAATATTTCTTCTCTTACTTGTAACTACACTTTTGATGCCTCACGATTACCTCAAGGAAGAGTGAGGCTCGTCATTTTCACCTCTCTTAAGAAATCCGCCAACTGCGCCGAATGTCGACAAGAACCTTTGTTTTTTCAAGTTTTATTTGGCATTGGAGAAAAAATGTGTTTCTGCAAGGTAAGAAAGATTGGAAAACTATCATTATATACGCTATAATATTTGAATAAGAATAGTTAAATAATAATAAGAGTTGAAAAAGATTAAAGCTTGATTAAGAATAAGAGTTGAATAGGAATTAACAACTGGATTATAAATACATCCAAGTGATGGGTGAGATAGTTAGAGATACTTGAATAGAAATAGTATTTTTTAAGGAATTAGAATAGCTGAATTAAAAAGAGAATCATTGAATTAAAAAGAGAATCATTGAATAAAAATGAGAATGTTTGTATAAAATTGATAATAGTTGAGTATTGATATGGATTGAATAAGATTTGGACTAGAATAAGAATAAAAATTGAGTAAGAGTTAACAATTTAATTATAAATTTATCCAAGTGATGAGAAAGAATAAATAAAGTTGCTTAAAAACTGAAAGTATTTTATAAAGAATTAGAATTGTTGAATATGTTTAAAAAAAAATAAAAATTAGAATAGTTGAGTAAAAATAAGAATCGTTGAAAAATTATAAGAGTTGCAGAAGATAAGGCTTGATTAAGAATAAGATTTAAATACGAATTAGCAATTAGATTATAACTTTATTCCAGTGATGAATAAAGTAATATTTCGCAGGTTCTTTTTCAGATTTTTCAATGTGAAATGATTTCACCATAAACCTTTCTTGGCATAAACGATTTTATTTAGATGCATACTTATGCCACGGCACAAACATGAAGTATATAGAAAATAATAGTAATTAATCACATAATCGATGAAACTTCGCACTCCATCATAGAACTTTCCACTCTTCTCTCACCAAGCTAGAGAACCCCCTCTCGCTTCTTTGTTTTCCCTTAAGTTTTTTTGTATCTCGCAGCGCCATCTATTGTCGACGATTCTTACAAATAAGAACAAATAAAGATACTTGAATAACGATAATATTTTAGGATGAATTAGAATAGTTGAATAAAAATGAGAATAGTTGAGCAATAATTAAATTTGAATAAGATTAAGACTGAAATAAGACTAAGAGTTCAATAAGAATTAACAACTGGATTATAAATTTATCCAAGTGATAATAAAATATAGTGCTTAAAAAAATGATAGTATTTTATAAAGAATTAGAGTTGTTGAATAAAAATTAGAGTGATTGTAGAAAATTATAAAATTGAATAAGATTAACGATTAAATTTTAAATTTTCTAAGTAAGAAAGTATTCGCATTAGTTCATTTCATATTTTTTTAATATTACTTTTTTAAGTAAATTATTAAAGCATGAACTTTTAGCAGATATTGAAATAAAACTAAATAAAGCTGGAATTAAGAGAGATTATTCCTTACATACCAGCCTAAATCGTTGTTTTTATCGAAACAAAAATGTTTGCAAAATGCAGAAATTCTTTTAAGATAATTCTGTTTTCGCATCATTAACAGAACTGATAAAATAGGTATCGTTCATACGCTATTTTTTAATCTCATACCTTAAGTTTGTTTCATTTTTAAAAACTGTTAAGAAAAACAAGCAGTCACAAAAACTTAATTGCATTTTTCATAAGCGTTAAAAAAATATAGTAGAAAAATATCATTCATTAATTTTGAGATGAACTGACGGTAATGAAAATATGTAATAAATTATCAATGTATATTTCAATTTCCTTGAATATATGTGTAACTAATGCAATTATTTAGTTCAGATATGTACACGTGTAATAATTAGGATTTTAAAGTGACTATAAATTTAGTACTTTCATGTAATTAAATTATTACAAAACATTTAATAAATAGAATACAAATTGTTTAAACGCAAAATATTTTTTTTAATTCCATTTTGAATAACTTAAAATGTAATTTAGAAATTAAAAACTCTTTATTCTTTTATTAAATATTTTTTCTTTTAATAGGAATAACAATACTTAAATTTTTTTAAATTTTAAAATTATAACAAATTTTTTAACTTATGTCCAATTCTCATTTGTGTGATTTGCAACTAAAAACGTTTACATAAATTAAGTGTTTAATAAATAACTGATAAATCAATAACTTTTTCATAGGCAATTGTTAAAATAAAACAATAAAATTTTGTGCAAAAATTTAAATAAATTTTCAACGTATCTCCAATTCCTTATCAAATGAATTTTCTCTTAGACATTGCATTTATTTGTACATTAATGCTAGTTATAGTCTTATTAGTCTAGTTTTTTTTAGTCCAGTTTATTTTTAGTATATTATTTATAGTGTAATTTATCTTTAGGTTTCTACTCATAAAAGTCATACTCTGATTTCTTTGGGTCCATTGATGCATTTATCATTACATGCTGAATCTGCGTGGGATAAGAAACTTCCACAAAAACATGTGGTCAACGGAAGTTACATTTTCTATTCCGAATCCAGATGTGGAGCCGAACGTCTGGAACTAGATATACAAGGTATACTCACTTTCCCACCACTCATACCGACAATAGGAAACTGTCCAGATGGACAATGCCTAGATGGTCCTATTTTCTGCCAGTGGAAGATCCCGATCTTCCACAGAATGGATGTTCTTTTAAAAGTGGAGAGTTTAGCCGAGGAAGGCAACTGCAGTACTGACCATGCCATTGTAAGCAGCATAGTTCTCTGCCCGAGCGATGAGGTTCAAGAGGTTCTTCTTCACAAAGAAGACATCTTCGAATCAGACGTCACCGTCAGTTTGCGCATGTCCGAAAAGACATCTAACTTTACAGTCAGGTGGACGCAACTTCAAATGCTACCAACAAGGACGAGTCCTGATAGTTTAATGTCACTTGGCAAAGACTGTGATTTCCTTTGCACAACTTCCATGGCTTGCTTAACCAGAGACCTAGTGTGTAATGGTGTAAGCAATTGTCCTGGTATAGGCGTTACTGCAGATGAAGATACTACCTTATGCCTGTTGCCAAGAGACAATTTTAAACTTTATTGGTGGATTATTGGTTTTGGGTTAGGAGTTTGTGTTTGTTTGACATTATGTCTTGTTTTTACGATCTTTAGAAAATGTCGCGTGAGGCGTCACCGAATTTAAATTGTGATGTTGTTGTTTTTTGTACAAATGTATAAAATTTATTAAATTTTTAAATGTTTCAATTGAAGTCAGAGCTTTTTTTTTCACCAACATATTTAAAATATTGTTTATATCAATAAAAGGTTAAATTGGGGGTTGCGAGGCACGTTTATTTCGAAAATCAATTTTTAATCAGACGCAATTTCTCTTGTTCATTTAGGAACAAAATATCAGCGTACTGTGAAAACTTATAATTCTTATAGTTTTAATTAAACTACACACTCTATGAAATAAAATTATGTTTTGTAATCAAATAGTTTCAGTAATAAAATTAAAGGCGAAAGCTTAAGATGAACAGAAAAACACAGACACACAAACTTAATTTAGAGTTTAAACGGAACTTCACTGGTTCTAAACTATATAGCTATTCTCAGTTACCAGAAATATGCATATTGAATAGTGTAGGACTAATATAACGAAAGCTCTTCGTTACAGTTACCATCTCTAACTAATTTATAACCTAAATAATAACTTCGGACTCAAATTTCAGGTAATGGAGGTGAAGCCGCCTTTACTTAAGGTGATGGGTGGACTTCAAGCCACTAAGGGGAATCAAACCCCTAGTTCTTCACAATAACAACTTAATAACTGTAATATCTTGGCTCACTTAATGTGCTTATTTATATTACAAATCGACGGTGAAGTAATTATTATTACACATTCTTAATTTAAATTACTGAAATAAATAAACAAAGATTACTATACATAGACGCACTAAGAAAAGAGGTATGGTCTAAACAACAAGAATATAGTAAAATTTGCACCATGTTTTTGGCTCTATGGGAACGCCAAAAAGCACGATAATTTTTACCGAAGTGCTTTGGAAATGATTTTGATAAAATTAACAATAAAATATAGTTTTATAACATGTGCTGAAATTTGGTAAAGGTTGTAAAATTTAGCAATTTTATAATGATACAGTTATCTTTGCATAAGACATTATAAAGATTCATCATTTAAACATTGTCTTAAAGACACTCATACTTTCACCTGATGTTTACAAATTATAAAGACATAATTTTATTTTGTCATTTTAATAAAAATGTTTCTCTCTTTAAAATTAACGCACAGTTACTTTTAAGTCTTAATTCACGTCTGATCTCACAATAATACCTTTTACTACTCATTTTCGGGATTCTTTTAATCCTAAACACCGTAAATATTTTATATCACGAATATAGTCGAATATGATAAAAAGAATAACAAATGCTATAAAATTTATAACCTCAAACAATTGATTTGATTTCGTGCTTTTGGTAGCCAAGTGTATTTTTGTCGAATAAAAATTATAATGTATTTATTCAGGTTAAAGTAAAATGCTGCAAAAGAATTCAATAGACTATGCTTAAGGACTTACAACAATATACTCTGTAACTCATTTTCATAGCTATTTTCAGCGTTAAACCCTTTTAATATTCTACATTCCTAATTCCATAACAATTTGGACAAGCAAATTGAGTAAAACCCTTAATATTATAACCCTCAATAATGTACAGATAAACAATAAATAGACAAACAATAAAAAGACAAATTACGAGTAACAATATTCTTCCAAAATGAAATTTAAAAAATTAACTATTTGGACGATTGAAGAAACTTGGGCATATGCGTCCCACCGAGATTTTTGACGGGACACATATGTCCCAGTAATATTTTCCTCTGAGGGAGATTATGTTCCGGTGAGGCCGAAAGGGTGAAAATACATTGTGATTAAAAACCGACACTTCCAACTTCTATGTCCAATAATATCTTACATTAAATAGATACATAAATTATGTTGATTGAACTACAAAACATATCTTAGCAGCAAATAAAATTTTGTGAATTTTTTTTATAATCATTTTTTGTAAAAATGATTATTGAAAAAATTGTGCATTCTATTCGTTGTTTAATGATAGGACAGCAGATTTTTACTGTCTTATTTATTTCATGAATTATTGCATGACAAAATTTAGGAGATCATTTTGAATCATCATGCAACTCATACGCTTCAGTATTTTAACTGGTATATTTAACCCTTTGCTTACGGTATACCATGTTGTACCATCACATCGGTACACATGTTGTAGGGGAAAGTCGGGTAGCCCCGCCCAGCGGGTACCCCCGCCCACTGTCAATTACATTTGTATAGAATATTTTTTCAAGTCAATGGGCCATCGGACATTAATTGTTATATTAAAAAAAAGATTATTTTCAAAGTTTCAAGTATTTATGCAGCTGTTAACATGGTAAACAATAGTTTTGAAAATATGTTGAATACAGTAGTCATGAAATTAAGAAAAATTGGTTCAATGTTTCGATTAAACTTCATTTTAATAAATAATTTTTTCTATTCATACAGCATTAAAGTATGTAGTCTTAAGTTTAATTTGCACACAAAAAGAAGTTCATATGAGAAAAATTGTTCGAGTAATTACAAATTTACAAAAAAATTGGATTTCGGGTAGCCCCGCTCACATGATTGTCGGGTATCACTGCCCATTTTTATTTCGTCGATAAATGTACGATTGCAAAGATTATTATTTTATTGCTTCAAATTTGAATGTTATATGCATTTTTAACAACAAATATTATTGTTATTAAATTATAGAATTCACTAAAAGTATATAAATATGTAATAAATAAAATAGTTTTGTGATAAAAATGATAAATGAGGTTTATCTATTGTCAATACATTGGTCATTTTCATTCACACCTGAAAAAACAGTCAAAAAACATAATTTTTGTAACTGGGCGGGGCTACCCGACACATTTTGAAAAGAACTGAAAAACATGCTTTTTTAAATTTCTATTTTTTTAAGTTAAGCTATTCTATTTTTGGTTTATTCTTTTTACATTATTTAATTAGATGATAAAATAATAGAAACATACAAAAATGCTGATTATTACTCAATATTATGCAGAAATATAAGCAATACTCCTTAAGTGGGCGGGGCTACCTGTCTCTCCCCTACCAGCCGTAGGCAAAAGGTTAAACATTTCACAAAATGACAATACAAATATACGTTAATCTTTACACATTATTTACCATTATTCAACAAAATGATCGCTCGTTTCATTATTCTATGTTAAACAATGATTTCTTCATCCCCTTTTTTCATCTAATTAACAATAAATTCAGAAACACGGATGGAAAATTAAATTGAATAGTAGAGCTAATGGAAAGATGGAAAGTGATATTCCGAAAATGTATAACATTTTGTATTTATAAGCATGCCTCATCTGTTTAGATAAACATTAAGCTTCTGTAAGTCTTAAATGAAATGAATTTTAACACGCAAAAAATGTTTAGTATGCAGTAACATGCTGCTTATTTATCTTTATTATTATTTTTTATCCCATTTTTTTTGGAAAGGTTCTCCTTTTTTTAAAATTGAATAGCATTTCAAATAAAATCATAATTACAGCTGCAAATGCGCTTAAAAAATTTATTAAAATCTGTTTGTATAATTGAATTAATAAAAAAATATTAAACATTATATTAATTATAATTATAAATAACCAGGCAGAATATCAGCTATCAGAAGTTTAAAAAAACACAATTATTTTATACACAAATCAGTCTGAGGTTGTATTTTTTACTAAGACAGGAATCTAATAGATACTAAGGATTTAATATTAAATCAATGTATAAAGAAGAAGCATCTGCATTCCAAATAAAATCACGAATTGCAGCTGCAAATGCATTCAAAAAATTTTTTAAAATCTGTTTATACAAATGAACTAATAAAAAAATATTAAACATTATCATAATTATAAATAACCAGGCATAATGTTCGTTATCCGAAATTGAAAGAACAATCATTTTAGGCACAAATCAGTCTGATGTTGTATTTTTTGCTAAGATAGGATTCTAATAAATGCTACGGATTTAATATTAAACTAACGTATAAAGGAGTAGAAGAATCCGTATTCTAAATAAAATCCTAATTACAGCTACAAATGCGTTCAAAAAATTTATTAAAATCTGTTTATATAAATGAATTAATGAAGAAATATTACACATTATAATAATTATAATTATAAATGGCAAGGCGTAATATTAGTTATCCGAAGTTAAAAAAAACAATCATTTTAGACACAAATGAGTCTTAGGTTGTATTTTTTTGCTAAGATAAGATTCTAATAAATGCTACGGATTTAATATTAAACCACCGTATAAAGGAGTAGAAGAATCTGCATTCCAAATAAAATCATAATTACAGCTACAAATGAGTTCAAAAAATTAATTAAAATCTGTTTATATAAATGAATTAATGAAAAAATATTACTCATTATAATAATTATAATTATAAATGACAAGGCATAATATTAGTTATCCGAAGTTTAAAAAAAACAATCATTTTAGACACAAATTAGTCTTAGGTTGTATTTTTTGCTAATATAAGATTCTAATAAATGCTACGGATTTAATATTAAACCACCGTATAAAGGAGTAGAAGAATCTGCATTCCAAATAAAATCATAATTACAGCTACAAATGAGTTCAAAAAAATTATTTAAAATATGTTTATATAAATGAATTAATAAAAATTGTTAAACATTATAATAATTATAATTATAAATGACAAGGCATAATATTAGTTATCCGAAGCTTAAAAAAAAACAATCATTTTAGACACAAATCAGTCTGAAGTTGTAAGATAAGATTCTAATAAATGGATTTAATATTAAATCAATGTTTGAAGGAGTAGAAGAATCTGAAGCATACCAAGGTATTTGGGCAGAATGATATATGCTGGAATTAATTTTCTAGCCAGTATGCAATATCTCTGTGAATTTCTCAACTATTTCGGCATTATGTCAACTATTATGGTGTGCATTTCCTTTGCATTGCTATTGATGTCACATCAAATAATATTAAGACGAAATAGCTTTATTCAAATAACTGAGATGCTGAAAAATTAAAGTTAAATAAATAACCTTTCTTTGATTTAATGATACTTCTTATGATTGAAAAATTTATTTTTTTTTAAGTTTACGAAAATTTCAATTTTTTTATTAAAACTTGAACATTGTTAGTTTTAA